GACATTCACTCAGGCAATCTGAATAGAAACTGACAAAAAGAACGCCACTGACATTGGTTGGCAGCCATATCTTGTAGTGTTTCCAACCAGGCACAGTGAGGATCACGCGGTCCCCATCTTGGAAGGCGAGTAGCACCGACAGCACCCAAGCGTTTCGTCATCTGCTTCATACTCCTCTGCCAGGTCATGGGTTGGCCACCTCTCTGTTTACGCCACTCCGAATTGGGTATGGAAAATAGTACTCTTTTCGGTAAACGATGATTCGGCATGCGTAAAACATGTCCCAACCAACGCAGCTTTTGGTGCTGGACACATTCTTCAATGGAAGTACCCGTTACACAACCGAAAACACGTTTTCTAACTGCCTCGTTACGGATTCGCTGACACCAACCCACACGAGCTATGGTTCTGAGAGAACGATTGTCGAACACCTGAAGACGTCTCAGGTCCGCTGCTCGAATAGGCCAAGTCTCACAGCCATACAACAAAACAGCCCGTACTGTAGCTTGATACACACGTCCCTTCAGATTCAGAGATAAACCATTCTGACGCCATAGGTGTCTCAAGTTAGCAAACGCGGCCCGAACTTTGCAGATTCGTGCCTTCACCTCATCTGCCACACTACAATCAGAACTAATACAACTTCCAAGATACGTAAAACGCTCCACAACTTCCAGTACCTCTCCCTGGATTGTAAGTGGCGTGTTCAGTGGCTGCACTTCCACAAAGCATGACCTACACTTTGTGGGTGCAAAGTGCATAACAAAGAACGGGATGACTTCGGTCACAACACGAGTTCATTCATGGCACCCAGTGCCAGTTCACACAAAGCCCTTAACACTATGCCCTGAATTATTTTGAAATGGCTAGGTTTGTATCTGGGCTCAGGGCAATCCAACAAGCACAGGCTTGAGACAGAACCCGACTCCGCTATTCAGGGAGTGCTCATAGATGCGTTACTGTACTGCACTCGTTTTTCTTAAATCTCGGGAGGTGACAAACAAGTGAATTTTTGTCGGAATCAGAGGTGGTTACCCAACATGATTATCATGTACACAAGTTTGGACTTCCAAAACATGAGATAACTCCAATAGGAATTCGTTCCACTAGGAAGACAAGGAGTCCTATGGACGACACCTCCACATGACAGTACTTCCCTATATTCCAGACCTCATAAATCATAAACTTCGTTCAACTTGCGCTTTATGAGCGTTTTGTTTATCCGTGTGATCGTCCTCAATTTCGTGTGTTTAAAATGTAGAGGATCTCATGGTGTTTACAGAACCATCCCGACCGTCAAATGCAAACTCCAATTCGTATTTGTACTTGAGATAATTGTTAACTTCATGAAATTGGTAAGTTTTCTATCGCACTGCCATAAGGACTTTGTACTGACACTGTTTCTGGAAGATATCTAGAAAGACCAGTCCAAATATTTCTTAATCATAATTTTTGGAGAGAGGCGCCCGATATATACTCGGACATTCTCAGCCATAACGAAAATTCACGTACTCTGCCTCAACTGCATCAGATGTGCTTTTCGTTTGTCGCCATATGAACCCTCACTGGTTGAATCCCTGAGCATTTCGTACGTCGAACTCAGCTCAGTGGTCTTATTGCTCGTTCGTATTGATATCTAGTTCCACCGCTCCCTCAGGATTCAAAGTGGGAAGATATTTTTACCACCAGCTATTCCAAGAAACCTTCGAAGGAAACTATTTTCCTGGAGAGCCTACAGCAGTGGCTTGCAAATCACGACAGAATGTGTAATATCTCGCCCTCAGGAGAAACCCAATGCTCTTTTTATCAATCATGCACTGATCCGGTGAATATTTTGAGTCTGACGATTAGAAAACGCATGTGTTCATCTTTAGTGAAAATTGAGTCGAGTAGTAAAGACGCTTCGTAGTAATCGTTTCCCAAAGATGGAAAGTTTACTAGGTTGGAAAAACGTTTAGTGCGAGCAGTTTGTTAGCCTCAAGGACGACTATGAGACCAGTGTACCTCAAGATTGTTACCTTTGAAATCATCTAACCATGCTCAACAATAACTTGTGATGTTTCATTCTCAAAAGTTTGTAACAGGTGTACGAAATTTCAACAAGTTTCATTGTTTCTTGCAAGCAAATAAAGCACCGGAAAATGATACAGTTACGACTAACTTTGAGCGATCCTAACCGCAATTCGCTTTTGCAAATACTCGATTTCATCCTAGTGGATTGTTAGCGAAAACACCTTTCGAAATACCATAGACCGAGTTAGCTTACTGGGAAGACAAACAGAAAGCTCAAGTCGCATAAAATAAGGATACGAGATCCTCAACAAAATTTTGACGCTATTTTTAAATAATCGTTGTGATAACGTGCCTGGTAAAGATAATGATAGGAACCCCTGCCTAACTGTAGGTTTTTGAAGAAACAACGTCAAAATGCGGTAGATCAAACTGTGATCGATCAGTTGTAGTCATTCTCGTGCAATCCGGTCGCGAGGAATTTTAACGTCAAACTACCGACGGTTTGAGGTTGGCCATGGTGACAACACTGCAGCAGCACTATGTCTGAGCGAGAAAATGTGGTCGTGATACGTGCACCTTATGAATTACGCTTATGCTATAACCACATTAACAGCAAACGACAGCGAAAAAACACCATAGTTATGAGTCTGTTTCAAATGTTGCGTCAAAGTACACCTCAACTCTGCTGTCTACTATTTGTGACATTGTGCAAGTAGTTGGGTAAATGACGAAATGTCCGATAGCCAAATTGTGTCAATGTAGCTTCAAATGCAGCCGATCTCGGCAGTTACGGTACTGCCAACTTTTATGTCGGGATGAGTTCTTTAGTACAAAAGTATTCAAGTGATCCAGAAGTAGTAATCTGGTCGCGACATAGTAGTGCGATTTTCACCAAGTACCATGCGTGAATTCAATTGTCGGGACTACGGGACAACCTTCATTTAAGACTGTTAATGATACTGACTGAATGCGAGAAAGTAAGGATTTCCGTATATTAGGCACACGTCATCTAAACGTTTGCTTGACAATTCTGTGAAAAACTGAGACAGTTGTGACATTTGAGATAGATGCCACTTTAGTATGAGACTACCACAAATAGTTCAACATTTGTAAGTTACTTTGACGCATCCCAAAAAAGTTGTAGCCGTTCCGGGCGTCCGGATTGCCACCAAGGGACTTTCACGAACGATAAGTTCCTCTGCTGACTTGCTCCACATTTCCCATTGCATTTATTTTTATACGCGTTGCAACTTACTTACGTCAATCATAGTAAAAAAAACTTATTAGTGCATATATCTTCTGAATTATAATATGGATGTCATCAACTGTGCAATAATAAAGTCGATTGTTGTTCAGTATTTGGTACCACCCACGTTGTAAAGTCGAATAACTGCTTGAATGTGCTGCGACCAAGAATGATCTTAATTAGTCGTTCCGAGAAGCTCGAGGTCGCTCAGTAGTTATTGAGCGAAATTATTGATCAGGTCCGTAGTTCAAACCCAACCCTCGGCATCCCGACTGTTCCTGCCCGGGTTAGGTACCTTATCCCTCGAGCTTCCTTCGAAGTAGCACGGCAGGTAAGCACGGAAACGACGCCACAGTTGAACGATTATTATTATTAGAAGTATTTGTTTTATTATTATCCGTGCTGGGATGGGACATCAGATATTCTGTTCTTACTGAATTTCGGAACTTAGAAATAATCAATCTTTCGGAAGTACACAATGAAGTGGGAGACACCAATATTTCTTTTGTAGACCGTTAGTAGGTTCAACTCGCGAACTTAACGTCACGGATGCCACTGGGCTACGTGGAAGCCAAGTTCGGTATATACAAAACAAACAGTAACGCGTACAAAAAAACCCTTTGTCGACTAGTTTAAACTCTTCATGGTCTACAGATCTAATAAGAATAAAACACACCATTGCGCTTCAAAGACTGTCATCTCCTCATCCATACAAAAATGCTGTACGTGTCCGCATTTAAAGCTCTGTGTTTCTTTCGTCCACTTCGTCATCACAGACGAAGATATTGACAGCATGATGCCAATATATCTTTCAGTCTCCTCTGTCATGAGATCTAAAAATGCAGTTCATGCACGACAAAGCACTGGCAACAAATTGGAACAAACAGACACCCAGTAACATGGAAGTCAGAAACGTCTCACTTCAAGACTTCCCGTTCACAGTGCTGGTAGAACTCTGATGAGTGAGGTCTCATTGTGGAAGTAATTTCCGGTTATGGTTACTTAGTAGTAGATAAAACGAGCCTTCTTGAACTAGATGCTGACTAGTTTGCAGAAGACTCTAGATAGCTGAAGACGTCGGGTCACGATTCGACCTTCAAACATTTAGACCAGGCTACAATATCCGGCAACAGAAATACCATCGTATAAATTCAGCTTGAATAGGCAAATTTGAACATGAATACGTAAACTGGTTGCTTTCCGGCCTTGAGTGCCGCGAGTCTACAAAGTCTAACGATACTGCGGAATCCAGTACAGTGCTTTGACGAAACGTAATAAACCACGTCTTCCTTAAGAACTCTTCTTTTATATCCGGTCCACACGCTATGCTCAAATCCGGTTAAGGTGGTTTAAATTATCGGCTTTATGTATTGTTGACTGCCTATCCGTTCCTGTTTCTTCTAACTGCTTCCTCGTGTATAACCTGTATTTTGCGTCTCGCAGTTGAGAAGGATAAAACAGAAATTGACAGCGCGACATATATGTCCTACCGGCAATAAACATCTGGATGTCGGCAAATTATTTTGAGTCGCTTCAAATAGATTGTTTGACTCCATACATGTCAGCCCTGTCGGTGCTGGGCAGCTTGACGGAATTTTGTATCATTTAGTGGCCTCAGAGCGAAAAAGTAGGATAAAATTGGTGGTACCAACCCGTAAATTCGAAGTTTAAGGATGAAGCTGCAAAAGCTAGATCAGGCTATTTGATTGACCACTCAAAGGAGCAAAAAATTTTGTCATTTAGCTATTTGAATTTGGTAACTAGTACACGATCGACATGGCGGAAATAACGGGTACAATGACGAATACGCGCTTACTTATCATAAAAAGTCAACATGTGTTCAAACTCACAAATATTTAACGAAACCGCCAACAATGAAACAAGAAAAAATGGTGAGTCATGAGGAACAGGCCATGGATTCGATCGAATAGCTTATCTAAAAAACACGCAAATTTAAAGTTGGGCTACTAAAAACAGAAGCGCAGATTGAATGAAGTCACAGCCAGATGAAAAACACATGGAATGAGCAGAGCCAACAGAAATCGCAAAGAGATGCAGTCGTCGATATGAATTGCGGGTTACCACTAAACGTACAAAGATAAAGAAAGATGAGACATGGTGTTCTCACACTGCTTGATGCCAATGCAACCAGTGGTTGTAAAAGCTCGCATTAAAAGGGATAAAATAGTGCAGTGAACCTAAACTGACGGTGCACAGTGACTGATATGTTCCAGGTTCGCTTGGGACAAGAAACGCAAGTTTGTCACGCCACTCCACCACGCACCTCGTTCTCCGGAAGTGGGTGTAGATCTTGTTGGTCTCCTTTCTAGAAAGTGTTACAGATGGGAGAGTAAAATATTGTGCGGTCAAGTTTTGGATAGTGTACACTGTACTACAGTACAATATCGACGGTTAATCAAGACAGTCGATAGAAGCAACAAAAACATCCACAAAGATCACTGTGGGTAGGGACCAGTGTTTGGATGAAGTAAGAGTGTCAAAAAATGGGTCAACCGATAGGATCTGTCTAGAGTCATCAGAACCCTTACCGTGAAAACCAAACTATAATCCCAAGGATCTATTAACATGAGACTCTACAACAATTTTTCTAACGGGAATCCCGCGGCTCATTTTGGGGACCACCGGACAAGTCAATACCATGCCTCGTTGACCAATACATGTTGCCAGATTCTTCGATATTGGTGAAAGTAGACCTTGGAGTTGAGAGATTAGCTTCGCGTCCTCGGAACACGCAGTAATTAATGCGGAACGACAAAAAAGTAAACCGGATGTAAAGTACCCTCAAATTACTCTACCGTAGAAAAAATCGAGTGTTTTTAAGCGTGAGGAAAAAACTAATGCAAGTCGGAATGTAGCCATTTAAGTATTTACACGAGTCTGGAACATGAGTGACTGCTTTAGCTGAATAACGAATTCCTAAGCGAAAGCAATTCTCATTTGGTAACCTCTTTGTAAAGACCTAATTGCTTTCTGTAGGTAAACGAACGCGCACGGAAACGGTGTAAAGCATCAGGAACCAGATGAGTACATGGTCCCCCATGTAACGACACCTTAAATAATACAAGCGCATTTTTGTACGAACTAATAGCTACAAATAGGATAATCAGTGTTCTAAAGTAGGATACTCCATGCAGTGAAGAGTTAGCATTGTGTACGCAAACAAGAAAGATGCTTGCCTTAAACAATATGGGTCCAAGTATTGGCCAGGGCATTTTAAGTGCCAAAGGTGGCGCTTTCACGGATCCGCTAGCTTCCAGTTCAAAAGCAGCGTTCGTCACATTATTCGACCGGATTGCACGACGCCCGAAGTGGTCCAAATTGTCCTCCTCATTTTCCTCTAACGCACAGCTTGTGGGTTGTCCAAGTCCTCCCTTACTTTGAACCAGCTTCATGTATTTGTACTCCAGTCTGGAAATTGGAAACAGAGGAGCCTTGGGCTGAAAGAAGTCGGACGGACAACTAGGCTAAACTCCAAGATATGTGCACATCATAGAGCACTGATTATCATACTACTGGAGAGTTTCGCCTTCCTGAGAATCCAAGTTAAGGTTAAAATGACTGAACACGGTAGAGCAGGCCAATCGGTTATGGGTAGCGCGCCGTGTGAAAAAAACGTCACGCCGAAATCCACAGAAATGCAAGTAATAGGAAAACCGCTGTTAAGGACTATTTATTGGTCAATTCAAGCTCGCCAGATTTCGAACACATGAAAGCGATTCATCCAATTGGCCTTCTGGTGTAAACTAAATGAAATGTTCACTGATTGCTGGTTGGTAGGGTTTGGAGTTCGAAAGTCGATGGTTGAGGGAATTCGAAGTGGGAACGGACGAAGAAAAAAGAGGTGAATAAATTGGTTTTCCAAGAGCAATTGACTGATAGGATGTATACGTGCGTTATGAGGTTTGCTCATCAAAACTAGAGTGCCACGAAACACATTAACGAGGACATAAGAAAACGTTTACCCTTATTCATTCTTTGTAAATTGTTTGTTCTTTTTTACTCCCAAAGCATCCTTGGAATCGCTTCATCGTTTTGGACAGGTAGAGAGGACACTAATGAAATTACCTTAGGGCACTAGGAAGCAAGTCTAATGGCGAACCCAAGGCATTTGCACCAGTACCTACAGCCAAGTTTCGAAGCGTCAGCTAATGACGCAAGCCATAAAAAATGCGTGAAGTTGGTGCGCGTGCGTCTGGGGAACTATTACAACTCACCTTTTGTTTTTCTGGTAACACGAAAATATTATTGTAACCAGAGTGATGAGGGTGAAACCAGTGAGGAAGATGGCTACAATCTGGGTAGTTGTAAGAAGCGGACAGGGAACTTCTTGAGCAGTCAGCAGCTCCGTTGGAATTCGACATGGTCTATGGAGCAAATAACGGTGGAGCATGAAATTAGATTGTTGAACGAACTAGGTTCGGTGCAGATGAATAACACAGTGAGCCATTTGATTTGATCGAAAAATAGCAACTCATCCTTGTAATGGTTGGCGAATAGGGGAGATATTTGTGCCAACCTAACTGATGGAACAAGGGACTGAATGCACCACAAGGAAATTGACTTGCGCTGGAAATTCAGACAGCAAACTTTGAAATGAACATGCAAGAAAACCATGCTGTACAAGATGGTGCAAAGGAGATGACAGGAGACCAATTGGGTTCCAGGAGCGAGTGTGTCTAGTGAGTGTTCGTGAGTCCTCTCTGTATGAACACACGAACATAAAGCCGCTCCGCGGATTAACACACAGCTAGGGCAGCGAAAGTTGGCAGCTTATGAAATGGCAAATGAAAGAAAGTGCCATCCCCGGCAGGACCAGAAGGTGTTAACTATCAAGCACAAGTAGCACTGGTTGTTATTAACGTTGAACGGTGAAATTATGATGAATTAAAAGTGGTCAGAGTGGTCAGTGATAATGGAGATTCTTCTGTGGATGTGATGGGGAAACATCCCACGGAGCGGTCGAATTCTATACAGGAATCAAAAGTGGTCACCTTGTTCCGTTTCCAGATAAAAATGAAGCGGGGAAAAATCATAATTAGACGCAGTATCATCTTCCGAATTACCGAGGCCAGTGATTACAAGACTTGCGTGAACATAAATAAGGAATCAAATCAATGAAAAAATCCTCAGGGACTAAATGACATTTCTGACATACAGTCGTACCAGACGGTTCGATAACTGGACTGAAGAAAGGGGATCGTGGATGGATTATGGAAACCGAGGAAAAAAATTAGTCATAATTGAGCAACAAACGAAAATGTCAACTATTACCAACAAACAATGAAAAGCGCCACATATCCTAACTTGTACTCACCTATGAAATCAAACTGGACCGACCAGAATTGGCCTATACATCATTTTGACACGCAATACTATGTCTAAGCAGTGCTTAAAAAATTCACAGAACTCTATGGAAAACTCTGAAAACAAATCTCTCCAAAGATAAGTGAATAGAACTCGCATCCAAATTGAGTCAGAAGTGGGAGCAGAGTCCAAAGAACAACGTCTCTTGTACTATGTTCACAAGTCGAATGGGAGTTCTGCTGACGAATTTTAATTCTAATAGCGCGGATGTAACGTCTTCTCCGAAAGAAATTCCTGGTAGTAATACAGGGGTGAACAAAAGAGTTCGGTAACGTGCAGTTCCACAATGGAACGGAATCAATACATCACGTGGTTTGCGCTCACGTTACGTTCGCATCGTGGCTCCTCAAAAAGTTGGCGGCTCCCGACAGACAAGAACAAAAATTAGCAAGAGAATTTTTCAGTGTACCCAATACGCAGTGGTCACGGTTCATTCAATCACAGTGAAATCTTGAGTCAGACTGATTTGCATCACCTATCTGAGATGTATAACCTAAAATCCACATCGAAAAGCTGTAAAATATTCGGCTTCACTCGGGTCCCTGTAGTCAATTCTATGGCGAGTGTCGCCGCTGCTGAGGCAAGTGATGTTTACCTGATAGGGCTTAAAAGAAGGTATTCAACGCAATATGTCCAATATGGTTTGGGAAAACTTATAGGCTAGGACATCGACGAAATTCCTGAGATTTTTGGTACTAACGGCATGACGAACGGAGCGGCTTGGTGACATCCACCCATCCAAAACATTCAAACTACTAACAAGTAGGCACTAATAATTCGCAACAAGCTACGCAGGGGAGGAATGACTGACATGATGGTCGCACTCACTCTCGCGTTATGGAATACACACGCCGAGATCCGTAATGACACTCGCCGGAAAACCGTGTAATTTGGCGCTCAGAACAGATCGGACAGGCATGAGAAGAGCGCCACAAAAAGTGGTAGGTGCATCCGTCACATGTGGCATCCGGGCAAGAGGGCGGTAATTCCAGCTGTCCTTCATCGTTAAACATCGAACTGTTCAGGGACTGCAGTGATTGGCCCAAACCACATCGGAATGTGACAACCGTTCGGACGCCGGAAGGGCAATTTTCCGATGATCTGGTTACGTTGGGTGGGTAAAATGGTTTTAAGTTAGCCATGTTCGGTAAAAGGGTAACTTAATGAAACAAGGGAGAATATAATTTCCATGAGCAGTAAAGTAAACGTTGTAGAAGACTTCAACTACTATGGAACAGTGACAAATAAATGATAATTTGGCTTAGTGACCGGTGATCGGGTGCCAACTGAAAGGTGACGTAAAAGCATGTAGGGGAAATATGCGATGGCATGGTTGAATCGTCATACTTTTTTCATCAGCAATGATGGATGCGTTCATCCACAATGGCTCCCGTTTAGGACTGATCCCCCAATAAGCGCGTTTTCAATCCCACTTTTTCTCAGTTGAGTATATATGACTCCATTCTTGGAAGGGCTAACTCCGGACAAAACCCGGCCAATTAAACAATGTGCGTGTTTTCTGGGTTGCCATTAACACGTTCAAGCGGTCTCAGTTCACCCCACACACACCAGGCATTGTTCGTACCTCCGTAAGTGCAGACAGCCTATTACGTGTAGGAAGTGTCAGGCCATATTTTCGGGAAACAAATCGAATCATGCTGTCATCTATATCCCATAACTACAATCAATTGACTGAAAAAGGCGGGGGGTTGTGCTGCTGCATCCGTTCTTCCACCCGCGCACCATTGCCCGTTCTCAGCTGTCCGAAAAGGTCATGCATAAGGGTGAGTTCACAAGACCTCATTTGATAAGTACAAACGCAGAGACGTATGAACGCCATCGTTGTCACATGATTTTCTGTCATCCTCATCATCATCATTGCCACCATCATCACAGTCAGCGATAGTAATATATACTGCAGCCTACCTGTCGAACAACGCCAAAACACTATATTAGGAAGGAACCGGAGTGGTAATTTTTCAAGCACAAATTAGGTATGTTCTTACCGTCTCCGTTCCAGACGTCATAAATGACGCAACTTGGAAAACTTATCACGATTCCGTGGTGTGTGCATCTGTCATCGCGGCTTACATAACCGACGAGATACTTTGCACACTGGAATTACAAACTGCATAAAGAAATCGGAAATTCTTAGGAGAGACTTTCTACCTGGATAGAGCAAAATCCAAGCTCATTAGTCACCATTTTGCGACTCCAGTTTGTTTGTGGAATAACAATACAGCGCCATTCCAGACGTCATCTCTGTTCCTAGATCTGGAGCGCGCAATTAACAATCGTAGTGACTACAGATCAGTAACTCAGCGAAAGAAAAAAAGAAAAAGATCAGTGAACCTTCCAGCCTAGAAGCGCGACCTTGTGGCGTGAATTCCACGATTGAAGGATGAGTGGCACTATATTCTGTCGAAGTGCACGTTACGCATATTGCTGATCAGCCGCTCGTAGTCGATCGATTAAGTGTTCGGACAACTAGCCGTGAGGTCGCGGGTTCGTAACTCCATGGAGTTTCGTGATATGTGCAGCGTTCCTGAAACCTAAACAGGAAGAAACATCCGCACAGTGTTTCTTGGCTTGTCAGTATAGATTAACTTTATTTATAGGACGAAACCTCTGTTAATAGCTGCAAAATTCGCAAATCTCAGGTCGAAAACTTTTGAACAATGCAGGCATTTGAACGACGAGGAGAGCCGGATAGGAGCATGAGTCATACTTGAAAAAGTAAAATAGCATTCCATCTTGTCCAGGCATCTACCTACAGAAGCCATGGCTTCTTTGAAGTCCAAGATAACTTTACAGTGCAAGTTAAGTGGAAGATATAGGAAACGCCTCGATTATGCATAAAAGGACTTACCCGCTGGCCACAAAAATATAATGCAGATCCGTTCCAACACCTAATCAACGTAAGGGAACGAAGTTTTCTATTAGGCAGACATTCCATCAGTCAACAAGAATGGGTAGCTTGAAAATAAACCAGATAGTTCAGCCACGCTGTTCTTTCAGCGTCAGGCTTCTACGTAACTACAAAGAAACATTAGGGCTAATATATTGTGTAGCCATCAAACCCTAAGAGTTTATTGCTCTTGGAACAGTTAAATACAACTGAACATTCACAACTGCGGCTCGGGATGTACAAGGAACATTCCTTATTGACCCATTCTCCAAGAACTACACTCATCGAAAGACATTTTGGAACTCTCCAATGTTTCCATGATGGAATAGCACCATATCATAGGTTGCCACTTCCCGGTATTCCCCACCAAGCTAGGTTGTTCAGCTTGCTGGAGGGATTCAACAGTAACCAACGTTTTGTCCTATTAACATCCCCCTTAAGTGGCCTACTTCCCTCAGGTAGCAACCCGCTAACCTTCGTCCCAGGAAAAATAATTTGGAAGGAATCTTCCAAATCCTGTACGTCAATCAGTATTCAGACCAACATGCACCTCATGAAACTATTCTGAAGCCTCTCGGTCTTTTGGCAGAGAAAGAATGCTCAATGAATCATGAAAGAGAGTGCAGATCTTTTAGTAATCACGGCGGTCACATACAATCCAAATCAGAATTCACCTGACAGTGGCAAATAAATATTCATTTGAAACAAATGATAACGAAGACAGTGGATGGTCATGGTATAACTAAAAACTAATAAAAGGTAACAACACAATGAATGCGTATCCACATTACAGAAGAGAAGAGACAGTCCTGAAGCTGCCTATTTACACCAAGCTATTAATCAGAAGTGATAACGCTTCTGAAACAATCAACAGGAAATTGACGACCTCGATCAGAAGAAAGTTCGATGCCACTCCATTAAGGACCTCACTCAATAACGATCGAACGCTCAGTGAAAACATCGAGGATAAGGTGCCGGTACAGGCCTCTTCCGTAGTAATATATTCATTAGTTTGTAAATGCTCCGCAAATTATGTCGGTTGGACGAATTGCTCAGCACTTATCTTCACGCAGTTGAACCGAACAAGCGATGCATGACGAACACGATAGCAGCTCACCTGACCGATACAAATCAACGAGTCAATCCGGCTGATGTATCGAGTGTCACAAAGTCATTTCAAGGTCGTTCGAGAGAATGCACTCGCAACAGTAGAGACGGGCACCGTTCGACTGCATTCAACAACTCTGTGACGTCAAAAATGTCACGTGAAAACATTGACTTTACTCTGGTCGACTAACCGCGGTTCTTAATTAACACCGGTTAATGACTTGCATACCCTCAATTTTTTACCGTATGCCTTACTGCATATTAAGCTTTTATTCTATTTTTCATCAACCGGGACTGGCGAAAACAATTATTCGCAGTACCCAGTGTTGTGCAGTAACCAGATACCTCCTGTAAGTAGGATCAGGGTCGAACCAGTTATTCCCGTCTACACGTTTCCGGCCATAAAACTGACCACAATGACCACAATGGGAGAAAAATTCGTCTACGAAGCGCACGATAGTTAGCAATCGTTGCTAATCCTGTCCAAATTAGCCATTAGCTGATCAAGTGCCAAAAGGAAGTTGCAGTCGATGTGCGAATGACCATAGAGAAGCGAGGTTTCTTATATGGTAAAAGCCAGCACAATTACGAAACTATAGTTGCGCAATCATTTTGTTCTCGTGACCAAATTAACGGTAACTGACTAGCTAGAAACGATGAGTTTTTCTACAGTGCTTTCCATGAAAACACGTCTCGTAGCCTCCTCGTAACTATCCGCTGTGTCCAGTAGTTTCACAGCTCCCTCATAAAACCCAACTGTTTGTCACTAAACCAATTCCTGTTGCCCTTTGTACGACACGTTTGTAGACCTAAGGACAGGGACGTTACCGATTAAAAACGAGTACTCACGTGTTTTGAAACCAACAAAATAAGGGTACTTAGCTGCAGTATTGACAATTTATTTGACCATGAATCGACTTACTATCCGCAGTCCATCCAGCCCGCGTCAAATTGGTATTCACTTCATCCCAAAATCGTTTGCTGTGATTGCTCTGTACAGCCATTTCAAGGCGATCCCCAAGTCTATGGGAAAAATGAATGCAACCCGTTGAACACGTCATCATCATCATTGTCAGCTGTAATAACAGCGTACTTATCATACAGTGGCTGTAGCTGCCACAGTCTCGTTCGCCGGTGATTCGGGGAGGTAGGGTAGGTGGCTGCGTATTAGAGGCGGGAGCTGATAAATTAGTGCGTGAATACCAGCACTGTAGGGCGACTGTAAGTGGGGGGGAGGTTCGGAAGGGAGCTATGCATCCAATACCTTGGATGCATGAACACCATTGAGGGCGTTGAACACGAATTTAACGAGTCCATATATCGTAGGACTAATAGTGAGAGAATTTCGCACTCCGTACGCAATTCCGGGCAGAAACAGGTCAGCCATCAAAGTAACAAACAAAAGCAGTGGCAATGAGAGGCAACAATAAATCATGTTTGTCAGACACACGATATGCCATGTGGATTATAATGAGACCCGAACACAAGTAATTTCTTGTGGCCTTCGCTGCTTCGACCACTTTTCAGCAAATCATTCCTGACATACGGTGATGCTTTGATTCCAACATAACTTCCATGGAAGATGGGTGGACAGTCAATGCGAAATATCGCCTTCCAGAGCTACATAGTAAGATAGAAGAGTCAGCATTCACACTTGGCCATGTAGTGGTTTCATGGTCATACAGGTTTCGTGCTAGTGATGGCTTGCACCTTGGTCATCCAATTATTGAAAAATGAAGTCGTCAGTTCACTTTACTTGCTACTGGCCAGCAGTTGATAAAGAAATATCAGGGTATATAAGACAGCGTGGACAACGTTTGTGTAAATGGCATACTCAACATTTAAAGTAACCGTCTTCACCAGAGCCATATGAGATGGAAAAATATGGAAACTACTCGAATGGAAGTTTGTCGTGGCATGGTACACCAAACACACATCCATATCGATCCAGTCAACTGGCCACTACGAACAAAAGAATTAAACAGATGCGAGACTCCGAACCACACAGGAAGTCAAGCAACTTTACGACAACGACTAATAAGATAAACGAAAGAAAGATAACGAAAAAAGGTAATTCATGAAACCAATCGAGTGGAATGAAAGCGGAAGACAAAGCAAGAAGGAAACGTTTCAGTCACAGCGGAGGAACATAACTGTCGGATTGAAGGCGCCCGACGAACCAACCATATACGAGGAAATGAGATCACAACGGGACCCAGATTCAACGAATTTACGCGAAAGCCATCTCAGGAGCGACTAATTACATTGGCTGGCAGATACGGCTTAGAAACTATGTAAACACACGCAAAAAAAAGAAGGGATTGACCCACCCAAACCCGCACTGACGATGTCACCTGGATTGGTGATGAAATACAACTGACAAGCTCAGCAGACAGCCCAACAACCAAGCAGACCATCCAAGGTAAACTATATTACGCAACATCGCCAACAACATACAAAATTCTACTTTTTGAAGCAGCATGGCGAAGCCTCAGAACTCGGAAAAACGAAAATTACCGAACCAAACTTTCCAAACTATCAGCACACTTCTTCATATGTGTATGCAGCTAACTGATTAACATCTAACTAAAAAGCGAATCATCCAAGATGACTGTTTGTCCTAGAGGTTTAGTTACACAAGCTGTCAAATGCCCGTTCGCCACCGGACCGAAGAAACCAATTACATTGCATTTGCAAGAGACTGCATAATCTAATTCATGGCAATAGAAAATAACAGCTCACCTGAGAGGTAGAACACGCTGCTTCTTATTGGGCGCAGAAGGTACGTGTACGATAGTTTGGCGACATATTAACGCTTCCGTGTAGTGCACCACCTATAAAGTAGACAAACCGAGTTAATCGATATTAACTAAATGTCCACGCTGGGAAATTTCGGCATAGGATTCACTTTAGACGTCCATAATACGCATTTTTGCGTTCAAATAGGCTTTATTGATTACGCTATCTGTAGACACGATGTAAAAAGATGACCAGACAAAACGGAACATCCATTTCCCGAAAAATGTTTATCACATTGTGTGACACTCTCTTATGGTATTACCCAGCACACAGACTCAAACATACTGAGGTTAGAATGTAGAACGAGGCGATGCACAGCAAGTCACGACTAAGCGATGACCACAGTCATTTTGCTCTTACACGCACACACATACATCTATATGGGGGCTTTTAATGGATTACCTTCGAGTTTGATTGGGTGCGACTGTTGGGGATATCAATATCTCTATCTTGTGTAAACAAAATTCCGGTATTTTTTTCAGGGTCAAACTATGAATATATATATATGAAAATCACTATTGTTCGGAGCATTAAAGTTGCGACCAAGGTTTCGTCTTCTTGCTATTCCGTTGCACTAGCAGTCGAGATCAGGCAACATAGCTGGTGATAAAATATCGTCACAGTCCGCTCATATTATTGTTTGCTCGCTGCGCTATCGAAACAAAACAGACACAACAAACCAGGAAACCGTCACAAATGACCACTTGGCAGACTCGTTTTATTGAGTAACTAATGAGTGTGGTTCATATTCGTCTTCCCTCTCAACAGGAAATGATCGCGCCGAAGGAACGTTCTGCTAGTCTCAGAGAGTTTCTCGCAGTAGTACATAATGACTGTCTCATTGTGAAATCCTAAGATAATCCTAAGATAACAATGGCCAGAGACTTGAAAGTCCTTTAAACCTCCCAAACATAATCTTTTGACAACTCACAATCAACTCTGACAAAACAGGACTAATCCCCAGTACGTCCGTCCAACCTTGACCAGTTTAGCAGCAAAAACTCTCATAAACGCACATAAGTAAATTCAGTACACCAAACGCTCAGACCTTGGGGCTCAAGCATTTGATTTAAACAGTAGTGAGAGATATCCCTTGTGATTACAGTCACTGCAAGTAGTAATTTGGCACATCTTTTGCTTGATGGAAGTCAACGTACATACAAAATAAGATATCAACGGAATGAATCGTTTTCAAAAAACAGTGTTGGGAATGCCTGGTTAAGTGTTGTCCCAAAGTGATCACCACAAATATTAGGTAGGTGGAGCAGGAAGCAAGAAAAAGGCTCACCACCAAAAGACGACTAAACTGAACGGATTCCATGAATAAGCCGAAAAGGACAACTAGAACAGGTTCAATCTATCGGGTAAAGTGAACCGGATATCGGTGAAAACAAGATGGAACTCTGGTAAAGACTAGATTCAGGGCTTCATGGAATGAACAAAGACGGTTGAAAGAACATCGACGATTATTGATGATAATTACGAGCATTTGAAATCAACGCGCATGAGTCTCCGGAAAGATCATCGAACAGACCGAAAGGAAGTAGAGTGATAACCTACTTTCCCATACAACTCGGAGACACTGTTCAGTGTCTTATTCTAATAAATAATGTTGGTCGTATTAATCAACTATGTGAGCCACGTCGCCTGAGAGGAAATTCTACCATTCAACTTACCACTGATTCATACTCCTCCACGCAACGCACAGGGTGACCATACATGAAGGAAAGGTGGTATTCGTAGTGATACTTGGTCCCAGTGGGTGTGAACAAATTGGCTCCATACACAGTACGGTTCCTGTTGCATAAGACAAAAAAAGAAAAAAATCACTGAGGTGAGTTTTAGAACTGCTTTGGATAGCTAGAGCCAAAAACAAGCCGCAGTGTCCGTGGGGATAATAAAACAGAGACAATAGACCACTAACAAACCAAAAGAATAATAATCGTTCAACTGTGAAACCCTTTCGGTACAACCTACCGTGCCAACCAGAGGGAGCCACATGGGCTTAGATAATGTCAGACTGTGAAAGCCTAGGCAGGATCAGTCGAATCGGTGGGGTCGGTTTCCAAAAACGAATATGCCAGACAGCAATTCAGCGCTTTAACCAATCGTCTGTCTTGAGCTCCACTCAATTCCACAGAGTTCTAAATAAACTGAAGGTAACCTGTAAAAAATTTTCAACCTTGTGGTAACCCCTGATTTTTTTGCATTAATGCCACTAAAACAGCTTACCACATTAACACTTGTTGACGTCCCTTGATTTCTATTGGATAGATGAATGAGCAACACGACCGTAATTCCGCTAGTCCGTTTATTACAAAAAGACCGGAAAGTTGCTTACTTCAAGAGCAGCTCGGTCAAATTATACAGCATTCCATTGCTAACGACCGGCGCTGTATCCACCACGCAGACACTGTGATTTACCGCCTTGGTTCCCGGCTCGCAAGGGATGCAGGCCTCTGACACTGTGCGAGTTGCGTGTGCATCAGTCTGGAGAATCGTGTTCTCAGGACACTGGGTGCAATCGACAACTTCTTGCCGCGTTGTTTCATTGATTGCAGAAGCGTAGAACAAGCCAGGTGGACAGGAGATGCATCTGTTGAAAACCGGGGTGCGTAAAACAAGTGCATAAATTGCTTATAGATTCAAGTGTACGGAGACCACCATGGATACAACGCTCAATTCAATGAATTTGCGAGTGAAAAAGGACGCAATGGAACTGCGAATAGATTTATTGGATAATAAGCACGTTTTGTGCGTGGCTGGTGAATAACGTCGCGAAAACCCAAAGTTTATGCCACAATTTGTGTACGTAAACGTAGGTTCAACATATCCAGCTACTGCAGGTTGTTAAGCAAGTTGAGAGAAAACTGTTGAGTCATATTTATCAGATCAGCACTCTGTAGACTAACCAACAGTTTATGAAAGCTGTGCACAGTGACGGACAAGCACACGTGCAAAAGAAAGACTATCACACCGACTGCACAAAAGCACACCAAAGTGCTGTAGTGATGAGAAACAAAAGGATTGAACGATGAAGTTTGCTGAGACCGGATATGAAGACTCAACAGAATAACTGTCGATGCATTTAGAAACATGCGGTCGATAGTACACTTTCCGTAATTATCTTAGAGAGTACTCCGCACACAAAAGGATAAATATGGTAACAGACCTGATATGATGGTAAAATACCACAGTACACCGAAAAGAATGCACAGAAAACAATCTCATTAGCTTTTCGTTTCAGAAGAGCTTGGTAGCCAAGCAATCGCTACTAGTAGATACCACTCTTTCAGAAAGGACACAAATTACGGTAGATGAAATAGTTAAAGGTATAGAAGCATGCCTGAATATCACCCACTTTGTTTTAAGTCCCTGGTTTATACAAAAGAACAAGGTATAGCAGTGGGATCTTCGATATCTCCGGTTTTGTCAAACAGTTTTATGGGCGATGTTGAACAGAAAGTTTTAGCCGGCTTCCCGTGCCCACCCAACATATTCTGGCGTTATGTAGATGACAACTTCGTCGTGATGAAACGAGACAAGGTCTATGAGCTTCGTAACTGTCTGAATGGCCTGAATCTAGCCATCATGTTTAGCATGGAGAACGGGCAACTACGGGTACATTGCCCTTCTTAGGCTACATGACAAATAAGGTCGGAGGAGAACTAAAAAACCACAGTGTAGGAGAAGCTTACTGACATTGGGACAATTTTGAACAACTCGTCTGCCCATCCGAAGACGGTATTCGCGAGTATTGCCGCGTCGATGTTTAGCCGCTCAAGAGCCCGTGCACAGAAAAAGTTGATCGGACAGCGGGCCACATTATAGTAAAGAACAAACTTCGGGGTAGTGGATATCCAACTAATTGGATTAGGTGTCAATTACGAAGGATCCTGTGGCGAAACCCAAAACAGAATGGCTTGAGACAGTTGGTGCTCTATATAAACCAGTGATAACGGAAGTCATTCAGAAGATACTAAGCACGGCTGACATAAAAGTAGCTTTATAGAAGAGAAACACTGCGCTCTGTACCATGGTAATTGGAGCAACACTTCCCTACAAACAGACCAAGAAACTATATCACCAAAATTAAATGCGACGACTGCACTGAGATCTACATAGGACCGACGGCCAGAATCGGAGAGCCCAGAAAAGAAATAAACAGGTCACCAAGAAATGCAGATGAATATCAAGCTTACTGAAAGAATAAACAATGGCGAAACATGCACTAGACACGGAACTCAAAATGGATTTAGAAAACGTAGAGGTTTTGAGGCGAGGAATAGGGTCCACGCCACAGAGACTGATGGCCGAGGCGGTGAAAATCGTTAAGTATACCAGTGTAAATAGAACAGAAGGCAGAGAACTGACAAGCATGTGGAAAACTGTTTTGGATCAGTCGAGCTAACACTTGGTGGTAAGTGATTATCAGGAAGAGGAGTCGTTAGCAAAAATAGCTTAGGTATGAAGTGCACTTAGTAACACCCAACATTCACCCAACTAAATTTTTGTAGCACCCACAAGCACACATAAACTAACAAAATCGGCCAGTGGCACCTAAGGTGAATCATCAAGCAAAGCACCTCGAACCAGAGGATTAAGGAAACGAAACCGATCAAAAATAATCGGAAATTCCCTCAACCCATCAACCGTAAGAATGAAGCAACTACACTAACCGATAAGACCCTTTAGTTCACATTCAACACCGATCTAGTGTGCAAGTCTGAAGAGGTATTGCTGATGGGTAACCTGCTCACTTGCCTGATGAAGCGAAACGTCCCCCAGTTAGAAACTACCGTTTGTTTAGCAAAGCCTTCCGAAACGACTGATTCGCAGACAATTCTGAAATTTTTTTCAACTGATTGGGATTCTGTTACCTTCCCGCTAGGTTCACCATTTGAGTTTACTGGAAACTGAGATGCCTAATATGCAGAGGGAGCTATTACCAGAACATTTGCCCGAGAAGAAGAAGTATCGGCAATACAAACAGGATGACAACAAAAATGAGTGTTACATCGTGTTGTCAGTAGAATGATTTTCAAGTACATGATCGGGAGTAACTCCCACTTATCTGCGGGATAGGAATTAACCCCGAATCTACCATGCAGACGCAGTTCGACAGCCCAACTTGAACACCCGCATCACCCACAAAGATGAAAATATAGATGCGTTCCGCCAGACGGATCACACCACATGCGTCCTTGGAAAAATTAGTGCTGGAGACTAAGACACCACAGGCATGCATCGGTCTCTGTGTCCAGATTTATTGTGCTGGGTAACCGGATAGCGCAAGACCACCGAAATAGTGCTATTTGGAGTCAGTTAGTGAAACATCAAGTATGCAGCGTGACCGAACGGGAACCGTCATCCAAGAATCATTCGAAATATAGTTCTCTGTTTGCTATCCGGTGGGCTACTCAAGGCTACCAGAAATAAATGTTGCTGATGACTCAACAGCCAAAGAAAGTAATAGGCTCAAGCAACTGAAGAAATTGGTTAGTGAGAATACAGCGGGTTGTGCAACATAACGATCTGTCACAAGCACCGGTAAAATCTGGAATGGCAAAATGGTTCACACTCAGAGGCTTGACCAGAAAAGATGAGTGGGAAGAATGTGTCTGCAGTTACTGTAACTTAATAGCAGTTCATTACATAGAGATCACCGCCCACTTTACAACAGTTTCAGCTGCCAAATTTTCCTGTCAAACAATCCTATAAATGACAAGCAGCAGATAGCTATACGGTGGATGCAATAGCTTCCACAAGTTTAGTGTGTAGAGTGTGAGCGAAAAGTGTTTTGTATGGAATTCAGACTTTTTGGTAAGAACTAATGTTCTTGACGACCACGCACTGATGGCGACAGTTCTGTGGCAGGCGCGGCGATGAGTACAGGACTGCGTTGCCCCAAATTTTGGCCCCACTTACAGTGACGAGTTCCCTGATTACTAATTTTAGGCTCCACCGTCAGGTTTGCTTAGTCCCTTAAGGTTTACACTCTACGCTAAACTGAGTAAAAACTGCTCCAAAAAAGTGGCTATTATCCCTTGAGATTTAGGGATATGTCACAAAGATGACCAGATTCTTGCATTTACTTCAGGTGTCACATTACGACCGGAACTAATACAACTTCCAAAAGCCGCCAGTCGAGTGACTCTCCTTGGATTGTAAGTGGATGTTAAATGACTGCATGTCCAGGAGCATGACTTTATACTCTGTGGGTGCGAAGTGCGCGCCAATGGACGGGATAACTGATCTGTTCAACCAGAAATGCACGTGTCTTTTCCTATGAGTGGTCCATTTGTATGGCGTTGTTCTAGCACGGAGTGCGAAGATTTGGTCAGCTCAATTGCTAACAGGCTACAATCCCGCTTGATGCCCTCGAGTCAACAATTCAAAGACCATCATAAAGCAAAGAAGGAAAAGTGACTGCAAGGATCCTGTTAAAACTGGTGTCAAGTTGATCCGTTTGTAATTACCGCAATCACTACAATTCTCTTTCCCTGAAATGGGTACTATCACAGATTCTCCCCAATTGTCTTGGAGAGTTACCTTTTCCCGGATGGAGACAAATAGATCTTACAAGCGGTGGCTGAGGAATTCACCCCTATCTTACAGCAATCCACAGAGTTGGATGGAAGTTGGGCGACGACAGCTGAGTGCCTCGATTTTTACCCCAATCAATACACTCCAACATGTCAATGAAATATCCGGGGATATTGGCATTGGTCAGTATATTGATTGCCCTCCGGCCCAATCGAATTAGTCTACAATTCACCTGCTGCTTTTCTGAATGACAGAACAAAAAGATCAGAGTTAGGGTACGGACACGCCCTACGCCCTCTAGATTCGGAGTGCTCCCATTCATGGAGTGTTTTTAACAATAGCTGTTTTACACTGAGTCGGAACTAAATGTAACGGAACCGCACAAGTTAACCTACAAACAGTGAAAGCTAAACAGAATTTTCTTTTCCTCGTGGGATAAAGTACAAACAGGGACGCCAGAGATCGACCGCACCACAGCAGATGGCACGGTACTTCAGTAGTCCATTCTACAAGACGTCTTTATCCACGATTTGGGTCTCGCTCATTGCTAGTATCCCACAAGTTATCCTAACAGGGATCACTGTCACACAGCAAAAGCATACCAAAAATGTTGAAGCGCGAACACGTTCGTACAATATTCTAACCGTGTGTGGTAGTTAAAAAGAGCACGTAAATAGTACAGCTCAGTAGGTTTTCCCGTTTGGGTCAGTTTTACTGTGAAGAATTGATCATTTTTTGGAATCAAGAGGAAACCTAAAATGTCGGAAGTTATCCGTACTCACCAGGCTGGCATTTTTCTCCAACAGAAACAGTTACCCGATGAGTTTCCCTTGAAAGCTAAATGTATTTAACTTGACTGGAATTCCTCTGTGATTTATTGATGCACAGACGGTCAGCTGTAAATTTGCATACCCTTATTCTTGACGCAACACTTTTGCCTTTGTCGTGACAAACAAAAGTATTTCTCGAGTTGACCAGCTACAGGAACCACTCCATGGAAATCACAAGTGACAGCACACGTGCACTTGATTCCAATGATCGATATCTCCAGGACCAGAGAGCAAAACGGTGTGTAGAATGGTCTTCCGCTGGAGACCAAAAGAACCGACTTTGGATTGGTTCCCTCAGTCAATTCCAATAGTAACGCGTATTTTCGCAAAGGACCACCCGGCTTTGAGTCGACCTCTCTGAGTAGAATCTCTATAGGCGCCAGATGAAATGCAGATAGAGTTCACTTTCAGATTGGCAAGGTGTGACTCAATTAGGACACCACTGTGTTACGAAACGTTGGACACATACAAATGTGACTGATGTCGACAGTTACTACGGGCAACAAGATGTTCAGTAGTTGGTGTAAACTAAACCACTGGATTACGAGCAAACAAAGTTTGTCATCCACTTCATAATGGGTACGGGTCGAAAACCCACAACCTTTACAGTTCATATTCATAAAAGGGATGCTTTGTATAAACATTTGAGCTTGTTTTAGGCGTGTACTACACCCAGTGTGGTCTTCGCGCTTTTCTCTGCTGCCAAATCAAACATATGATTTGCGGTAATAAACGAAGTGAGGTAACATAACTGAGTATTCAAAATTGCACGAGGTCGGTACCAGCGTGAGAATGATGGGGAATTCGAACACACATGCTCACAATAAAATTACCTCCAGGCGGTAACACGCTCTAGGATCCCCTGATACGTAAAATTACCACTGAATACTCACTTCCCATCCTGAATACCTTTCAAGCATTTTCTACAGCCAATGGTTCCCAACAGCTTAGCGTTTGTCACCTCCAGTTGATAGATCTTCACATGCTCCAGTAGCAGGTCACTTTGTGAAACTTCAGGATTAGGTGCTTTTTTCCGAAATTCCCAGGTGAAGTTCACAGCAGCAGAATCTTCAATCGTGAAGCTGAAAACCGAAAAGTAAGGTAGTGTATTAGGAAGCAACGGGAAAAAATCAATATTCAGAAAATCTCGTGATAATAGTAACAATAATAATGATAGTAATCATAATAATGAGGAAGCGGCGTTTGTGGACGGACATGTATTGAACGACCCTACACAAATGATACCCCAACCGGCTCTCTACAATCGCTAGGGTCATTCTATGCCAGCCACGGATCTGATGTACCGACGAACAAACACATAGGGATGTCCCATATCTTCCACCTACATAGGCAATGTCTTGTTAATTTGCTACAACAAGCACGAGCTGTAGCTTCAGATGAGGAAAGTCCGATACTCAAGAAATTATGTATTCACAACAATGGACGAAATATGGAAAAACATTGCCTTGAATTTTTGGCGCTTGCAAATTACGAATTCAATAAATCCATTCAATATCTAACCTGCTGCTTCGTTTTCCCAAAACTATCAGCAAATGTACATTGGAGCGAACCGCACGTGGAAGGAGAGTGAGTAATTCATTTAGAAACGGGTAATGGATGCGAACCTCACAAACATCTATCATGGGCATACTAACCTCTATACACTCAGCAGTCTCAGGCGCTACAAAATATTCGGACTGTTTACATAATGACACATTGGATTTCTGCGAACACCCACCAAATGGATAGGGCCAACGTCATTGCAGAGCTTTGTGTTAGCGGTGGGCTAAACAGGATACGATATGAAACGTGGAACAAAGGCGACATATCGAAAACAGTGTTAATCAGATCCAACTAACTCTTCACATTCTCACCAGACACAGTATCGCGATCTGGATAAATCCTCTCGGTCGATTGGATAGCACGTTTTCAGGCACTGAAATCATCTGTGTACACACATCAGAGACCGGCTTTCACCGTCCCGAACCTAAGCCTGAAAATGTTTATTCGCATCCCCATACACACAATCCAACCTGCGCATGTGTCCGCTCTGTTCACATTATCACTCGTCTGCCTGAATGATCACTGGTGATTCAGTGGATCAACAACCCAGACTAGGAAGTTCAGGCCGAAGATGGAAAAATATTACGCCGCCTTCACTCCATATCAAACTACCCTAATTTCTCTTTGGTTTTCACGAGAGACTCAAATGAATCTCTCGTTTATGGTATTCTGCAACTGAATTTGCTGCACACAGGCTGCCTCATGTTTCAGTTGGCACTATATTCGAGATATCGCAGTATATTTTCATGAAGGAAACCACTCACAAGGTTGCTGAAAACCCTTCGACAGCCCACGGCCGGTTTCACCCTTCTCGGGGCTCATCAGGTAGGCGCGGTCTCTGAGTTTCCATCAACCTTATGCTCTACTTGAACCCATAAGTAGAACACGAGGTTGATGGAAACGCGGGGATTGCACCTACCTGATGAGCCCCAAGAAGGTCATGGGCTGTCGAAGAGTTTTCAGCAACCTTGACAGCATTTCCCTTTATGAAAATACCCTAATTTCTATTGTGATTGTAGGATATTCATTGTGAGTCAGCATAAGATTTTTATCGAGAGACATTGTGGAAATAGTTGGGCATCATATGAGGGGGTGATAACAATTTGAATCATCTAGCGATGTGCATGAGAACTTACGTATAGTTTTGACGTTCCGCCTTTCCCAACCACTGGATCAAGGGGGTGTTGACGGTGTCACGTTGCTGTGAATAGATGACAGTATTGAAAGCCAAAGAAACACTAACCGCACAGCGTGCTGGTTACCAAAGACAAACTAAATTAAAGCAAACGCCAAGGTCACAGTAAGCACCTCACCCGCAAGCAAAAACACTCACTTGAAATTTCCGTTCGAGCATTTTCATGCATCCTATCTCGGTAGGCATAATCGTAAAGATGTGGGTGGGTCCCTACAAGCCCAGCAACACGGGGTCTTATGCACTACTGTTGACGAATCAGGTGGCCGTAAAAGGATGGGACACACGATCGTTTGGTCATCTGTTCCAGGTAATTTACCACATGACTACGCGCCCGCTCGTCAGTTCTCGAGGGCCGCCGGACCAGCTCTTGAGTTTTCGGGCAATCCAACTACTGGCGAATTGTCAGATATTCTGTTTGAGTGGTCATCAAATATCCCATTGAAATCTAATCTTGTACTGTGGTAAATATCAGGTTCTCCCTTCAATGATCTGGCTATCCACTATTAATCACATTATATGAAAAGGTGACCAACTAACTCGACCATGATTCACACAGCCGTACAATCCTCTGTGCGTATGAGGCGGTATTCGATGCAATTACTAGGGAAATTTTTTTCACAATGGACTTGGTGGTCGATGTTCACCGGATTGGTTAATATGAAACTAGGGTTCTTATCAAGCAACTTGCTAGCATATGATGCGGGGCGGGCAGGAAATCTAACGCGAAAATTGGCCTGCCTAGTGATGCGAACCCTATAACGTAAGAATCAATTACCGGATTTGTCGAAAACGTTTCACTTGCGCAAGCGATCTTCCCATTCCTTAGGGGCCTTTATAAAACAAACCAAGGTAAGAAAAACAATGTACCACTCAACGATTTGGTTCCTGGCATACTCTCTCAACAAACGCTGGGAACGGCATGAACCAGAAGAACACCTTTACTCAAAAACTAGCTGGCTTAGTTACTTACCTGGCGCAAAATCAGTTCACAAGCAGTACAGACGAGTTCGAATTCCACCCGTAGGTAGGTATTGGGAATGGGTGGGTTGCGGACGACTTCTCCCGCACTTCCAGCGTCCACTTCATTGGAACGCACGAAACCAAAGGGTATTGACAAATGTAAGAAAGCAGCTGTACTCAAATGCAACCCAATTCCAGCACTGATGTGATCCACATTTAATGTCCATTCTAAACAACCATTTTCTAATGGGAGAAAAAAAAAGAGCATCTGTAAGTGTTGGTTTCGGAATTCGGAAAGACCCAAACATTGCAGTACACTGTTACCTTCAGTTCGTCCTTGCATGAGGGCAGGAAACCCAATTGTTTCATTCTTAAGGCCAAAATGATTAACCAGAATTAGATGGAGGGAAGAAACTGATGAATTGTGGAGCATAGTATTGCTGGATAAACCAGGAAAAATGCTTTGATAATACAATGCAAAGGGTAGGCAAAGAATTCTTTGCTCGTCAACACTTGAATTTTTCCATATAGAACTTATAACACCATTATTACAGCGTTCGTAGTAACAGTCGGTGGGTGTGGAGTCCACTGGGTAGTCCAGAAGTTAGTCTAAGTGAGCTAAGGGTTCAGCAACTCCAGGAGGGGCCAACCGCCTTATTTGGTTTCAACGTACCGGTTAGTTTCGGCAGTAAACAACACGACCCTGCTGATGCATCTGCACCACTGCCAACCAGTACACAGTAGAGACTCGGGAGGGGGGGGACTACGGCAAATCGAAAGCTAGTTTGGTAGCCCACCGTCGAGTTTACTTTTGTGAGATGTTGGCGCGCGCCTCGTCGTTTAAGTTGGCCTGTGCTGATTGTTTTCGATGAAGATTGGTCTGAGTCAACACGGTGGAAACGCGCACTCCCCTCACCATAATACAAATAAGCATGTCCGAGTAGACTTACTGGGTCAGCTGTTCACAACCGGAGATATAATCATCCTTGCACCTGACTGACAAGTTATATCGGCGCTGTTCGTGAGACTGGAACAATATTTTCCTGGTCGGACGTCTATCAGTAGCAAAACCGAGTTGCGTGTGCCTAAATGGTCGTGCCCGGACGAATCATCGAGTGGCCCCAACCCAACCATCCATCGAATAGGAACTATCTGGATACAGTGGAAAGTGCGTATGGAAAACCTGCTGTCTATGCAGTACCGAGTGCTATGCAGTGTGGTTAACGACCCCGTAGTTGGCAGCCCCATTGTTCCTAATCGGGGTCCAAGGAAAACACCACTGAGGAAATGGCGGCTGCTTGGGAGGACAGTTTGCACAAAAACGCTGCGAGTTTGCCGATCCACCCCTTTCAGTGGATGAATTGTGTTCTCAGGACGCGTATATCCTGGAGTATTTATCCACGGTATTCAGCTTCGGTGCAACCTGCTCAGGATAACAGATAAGAATGCCCGACGTGGACAGACCATCTTTCGTTGTGGAAAGTAAGGTCAACCAGAAAGCTTGGTCCATATTCCGCAGTCCTATCAAATTAAGCACGATGCCCGAAGTGTTCATCGAAATCAGAATGCAAGAGAGCTGGAATATGTCTCCATCACCTGGGACACCATCTCCGGAGAGCTGGGTGCACCTGCTTCGACATCCTTCATCAAACCTGACGTAGTTGTTGTTCGGTGGCGCAAGTAACGGTGATAGACATAAATATAACCTCGGATGGGTGCGGAGTGCTTGCACAAAGTGAGAAGTATGGCGCTGACGACTGTGCTCCCGCTATCGCCTCTGCCATTGTGACGTTGATTTCATTTTTCAGAACCGATGATCATTTCATACCGAGGTGTCTGCTTTCTACAAAATGCCAAGGTTATTACAGGACTGGGGCTTCCCAAGTCACATTCGGTTGCTAGTGTTTGCGCACCATTTTACGCTGCCTACGTAATTAAGACACTTTTTGCGTAGCACAGCCCATCCTATATGACGGATATATTGTGCGCCGTGTTCAAGTCTTGATTGTGCTGAGAATTAGTGAGCGTTGAAGGGCATTAGGAATTGTTTGTTGTTTCTTCGGTTGTCGGCCCTTACATTTGTATTTTCATGTCAAACATCCTCTACATACCTTGGAGATAATTGCGTCTGACTGGAAGACGATCAGTGGTACGTTAGTGAGCAGAACCTTCCCCATTTTTAACATACTCGAAACTTTCTACATGTGTAGCTTATATTTCCAGGTTTGCAATCATGCTCCTCAAAGATAAAAGCTGTTAGTGCGGGAAAAGTCACACAAACATAGTCAACCCGCTAAAATCAACATAAAAGTATGCATGCGCATGTACCCCGGAATCATCATGGGTGCAGCTTTCGAAGGTGAATTACCGCAGCCAATAGAAAAACGATTCGAACCCTAAACGCCAAATCCGGTACCCCTGACATCATCAACTCTGTTCTCATTGCCCAACAATCAATCCCTGAAAAATTATGGCGATCTTCCTGCTGGAGTTTCTTGTACAGAAGAGAATGTCAACGTTCCTCAATGGGTGCATTGGAGGACAGCTCCATAATTCAAGGTCCGACGAAACATGGACCTCAACATGCCCTCAACGTTTTATGCAGTAAACAAGTACCCATGTAGGGAACAGATCGTTCCAGCCTGTGAGCAGACTTCAAGTTATCTGTGGAGACGTTCAATGAGACTACATCACATCGATCGGCGGTGTGTGTAAGATGTTTAACAAGACTGATACGGGGGAAATCAGACAATATTTCCTCGAATCCTAGAGAGACAAATAGAGGTATATGGATATGGGCACGACTAAAGCAACTCAGAATCCGCAGTCCCTAAGTGACACTGTAAACAAACGGTATAAGCAGCTTCTGGGGCGTGCGGTTCGACAACACGTTGTCAGTCCCTTTATTTGCAAATATTTTTCCCTGATGGTTGACTCGTTTTGCTGTAGTGTGTATATATTTTACGACATAAAATCAACAGAGCAGTGGTTGAGGCAAATGGTGAATTTTGTGGAAGAGGAAGATCGTTCAGCTGTAATACCTCTTCGGTTCCTAACTGCCATGCCACAAAAAAGTAAGCGCGAGGACTGATTTACTGCCAGGTTGACCAAACGTTGAGAGCACTGATAGATATGAAAAAGGCTGGGTTTAAACCACGGACCAACCAGTCAGTAATTCCGGGCCTTAACAATCGGGCTATCTCGAGCACACTGAAGAGTCCATATTATCGAGAATTCGACAACCGCCCTTCTTTGATTCTAGATGGCTAAGGATAAAAACGTCTCTCAAGCGGTGGATTTTGCTTCGAATCCCGCAGAACGCTTACCCCAGTATATCTAGCTGCACCGGCCTCTAGAGGTACGCGGTCGAAACACGGAAGAGAGCGAGGAAGTGTCCGTTCAAATACAGTACTGGCGTCCTGTACACTTGGTTCTGACAGACAGCATACATCTATGCACAGACGATCCAGCGTACCAGCAACACATATTTGTCGTCTTGCTTGCTTCCGCCTACGAACATTAAAGGAACCTAAGCAAACCGGCTTGCAGCGGTCCAGAAACAGACTTCCGAGTGTTTAGGGTTGATACTGAAGTCGGACACGCAAAAACTGCAGCTGCGTGTGGTTCACGGCGAACAAAGTGGACAGTCCTAGTGCTAGGACCTGCGGTGAGAGTAGTCGAATTGGGGTGGAGTAAGGTAGAAGAGCGAATGCGCGAAAGTATTAGAAGGGAGATGTCAGCAGCGGCATGTTTTAGTTTTCCCACCTTGCTGTAAGCAGCAAGTAAGGCGACCCGACTGGTGACATCAAGTGACGACCGAAGTGGCATGACATTACTGATCGCTGTAGGTATCACATCTGTACGAGGATTAGGATAGTGCCAGGGTGCCCACACCTAGAGAGGAGGACAATTGGGGTCGTCCACGAAATCCTTTGACTCAAAAGCATGGAAATAGGGCAGTGGTGTTTGGAGGAAAATGCAACTGCGCTTTCTATTTTTACAGAACGAGTCACCAAAAAATGTTCCAACCCCCAAACTCTAGAGCCAGAAAATTGCGTTGATTAGACCTCGAGTCGTTGCCCGACCTGGTGCAACAGATTATGCGAATGTCACACACCTTAGGATAGCTTAATGGGTCACGTAGGCACACACACACACCGTCACGATAAGGTAAAGTCACTTCGTGATTGCGTCAGTATTCACTGCTGAGAGTCAGGTTTTTTTAATGTCCGCAACTGTGGCAGCATAGGACAGGGCAGTGGTGTCAAGACTACATTCGCATAACCCATTAACTCGTGAT